TGATCGGTATGTTGTGGTAATAATTATTGTGTAAAAGTTTCATAACATTTAGTTGAGGCAAACTAAAGTTAGAGAACGGAAACAAAAATCCAGCAACTTTTCCATTTGTTAAGGGGCATAACTCTAGAACGGTTAAAGTGACTCCACCAAAATTCAAACTTGATCTGTTTTGTGGTAATAAGCATTTTCTTTAAGTTTCATAACATTCGGTTGAGGCAAACTAAAGTTAGAGAACGGAAACCAACTTTGGGACGTACGTACGGACGGACAAGGGTAAAACTTAATGCCCCCTCCGCTACGGCGGGGGCATAAAAAAGCGGCAAATTATTAACATTTTGAAGTGTTAATACTAGTGTTACAATTTTAACACTGGTTTACAGACCAGACTCAAGCTAGCGAACAATAAGCCAGCGAACAATAAAATGCATCAAGCTAGCGAACAATAAGCCAGCGAACAATAAAATGCATCAAGCTAGCGAACAATAAGCCAGCGAACAATAAAATTCATCAAGCTAGCGAACAATAAGCCAGCGAACAATAAAAAAACGCGCCAATCTGATCATGCCTAAAAACCGAAGACTTGCAATAACATGAAACGTCCTTTGAAATCGGATGACAATCATTTCCAGTAGAAAGACGAAATGCAATTCATTTTCACACAGACACAGTTGACTATAATTAGTTTTTCGTTTATTTAATACAACTTTTTTTTTAACCTGGGCATCTAAAATTCCTTTAAGCTAATCCTTTCTCTTTTTAGTGTTCTCTGATTATAGATGGGTATGTTGTCCTTATAATAATGAAACAGTTAATAACAATAGTTCATACTAAACTAGTGTAACGATACAATTAAATCTTCTAACTTATATATGCGTTTGAAAAGAAAAGAAAAAAAACGGACTGATTTTAAAACGTCAAGTATTTTATGTTAGATTTTCTGTTGAAATAAAAGCTGATAACTATTATACGCAGTTTTCTTCTTTTGTCAAATAACTAGTTAATTTTTCTAATTATTCAAAAGTATGTCGTTACACTGGTAATTTATTTATTATTTTTCGATAGGAAGAGTGATTAGTGTAAGAGTTACACACAAATAAAACGAGAAACGAATTGACATAAAAATTTTGGTTAATCTAAACGACATTTTTTTTTATCCAAATTTATCCAATAATCATGATCACAAATGATAGGCAAAGCTTTTGTCCACACTAGATACAAATGATAGGCACTTGCCTAAGGTTGCCTGGACCCAAAGACCCAGGTGGGTAAAGTTACGGAACTTTTTTAATTGAGGTCCAAAGTTGATGTATGGTGACCCAACCCCCTCCCTTCTTTAATTCATAAAAAAGTCTCTACGGCAAAGTTTTTGTCCACGATAGGTACAAATGATAGGCAATTGCCTAAGGTTTCCTGGACCCAAAGACCCAGGTGGGTAAAGTTACGGAACTTTTTTAATTGAGGTCCAAAGTTGGGGTAAGGTCACCTTTCTATTTAATTTCATTAAAAAAGTTGCGCACCCTACATTGATACATAATGTAGTTCTCAAGCCATTAACAAAAAATAGAACGAAATCCGCTTTTCAAAAGGAAATCAATTTTACTCAAACGTTTTGTTTTGAAAGGTAATCATTTAAATAGTTTATACATTGTCTATACGTTTATTCTACAAAAATTTTATTTTAGGAACTAATTGAAAGTACGGAAATTTTTTGACGATCCCTAACTTTACCCACCTGGGTCTTTTGATCCAGGCAACCATAGGTAATTGCATATCATTTGTACCTAGTGTGGACATAAGCTTTCCCGTAAGGACTTTTTTATGAATTAAAGTAGGGAGGTGGTAGGATTACCCGACCCCAAATTTGGACCTCAATTGTAGACGTAACTTTACGCACCTCGGTCTTTTGATCTAAGGCAACCTTAGGCAATAGACTATTATTTGTACCTAGTGTGGACAAAAGCTTGGCCGTACGGACTTTTTGTATGAATTAAAGTATTGAGTTGGTAGGGTCACACGACCCCAACTTTGATCTTCAATTGTAGACGATCCTTAATTTTACCCACCTGGGTCTTTTGGTCGAGTCAACCTTAGGCACTTGCCTATAATTTGTTCCTAGTGTGGACAAAAGCATTTGCCGTAGGGAATTTTTATGCATTGAAGTAGGGTTGGGGTTGGGTCACCATACCCCAACTTTGGACCTCAATTAAAAAAGATCCGTAACTTTACCCACCTGGGTCTTTTGGTCCAGGCAACCTTAGGCAATTGCTTATCATTTGTACCTAGTGTGGACAAAAGCTTTGCCGTACGGACTTTTTTATGAATTAAAGTAGGGAGTTGGTAGGGTCACCCGACCCCAACTTTGGACCTCAATTGGAGACAATCCGTAACTTTACCCACCTTGGTCTGCTGGTTCAATCAACCTTAGGCTATTGCCTATCATTTGTACCTTGTGTGGACAAAAGCTTTGCCGTGTGGACTTTTTTTTATGAATTAATGTATTGAGGGGGTAGGGTCATCCGACCAAACTTTGGACCTCAATTGTAGACGATCCGTAATTTTACCCACCTGGGTCTTTTGGTCCAGGCAACCTTAGACAATTGCCTATCATTTGTTTTTAGTGTGAACAAAAGCTTTTCCGTAGGGACTTTTTTATGAATTAAAGTAGGGCGGTGGTAGCTAGGATCACACGATCCTAGCTTTGGTCCACAATTGTAGACAATCCGTAACTTTACCCACCTGGGTCTCTTAGTGCAGGCAACCTTAGGCAATTGCCTATCAGTTAAGCCTAGTGTGGACAAAAGCTTTGCCGTACGGACTTTTTTATGAATTAAAGTAGGGAGGGGTTGGGTCACCATACCCCAACTTTGGACCTCAATTAAAAAAATTCAGTAACTTTACCCACCTGGGTCTTTTAGTCCAGGCAACCTTAGGCAATTGCCTATCAGTTGTACCTAGTGTGGACAAAAGCTTTGCCTTACGGACTTTTTTATGAATTAAAGTAGGAAGGTGGTAGGATCACCCGACCCCAACTTTGGACCTCAATTGTAGACGATCCGTAACTTTATCCACCTGGGTCTTTTAGTCAAGGCAACCTTAGGCTATTGCTTATCATTTGTACCTAGTGTGGACAAAAACTTTGCCGTAGGGACTTTTTTATGAATTAAAGTAGGGAGGTGGTAGGGTCACACGACCACAACTTTGGACCTCAATTGTAGGCGATCCTTAACTTTACCCACCTGGGTCTTTTAGTCCAGGCTACCATAGGCAATTGCCTATCATTTGTACTTAGTGTGGACAAAAGTTTTGCCGCAGGGACTTTTTAATGAATTAAAGTATGGAGGTTGTAGGGTCACCTGACCCCAACTTTGAACCTTTCCCCGATTTTCGTTCGAATGTTTAACTGAAATACAAAAAATGTAGTCTGTATTGTTGTGATTCCACCCTGTTTTTGTAAATTCGAATCAGTACAAGCTTAAAATGACGTGCTGTTTTGAAAAGCAGCTGTAATAGTTTTGGATTCGAACATTTTGTCGGTTAAATTAGTCAAAATCTTCATATCAATTCATATCTCATGCTACTTGTATGTCACTGTCACATAAAACACATTTCTTTTCAAAATGTAATAAATAAATTGCAAGTTTTCAATCGTACCAAAATGTTAACTGTGGATATTTATTAGCTTTTAATTCAACTTATAATTCTGAATGCAAAATTCTGTACTTGACGGTCCAAAAACGGTATGTACATGCATCAGCATGTGTATTTATTTTCATCTTTACACTTGATAAGTATGGTATACTTTTCGTATTTTTTTTCTTTTTTATAAAGACAAGCCGTTTGTTATCAAAGGTAATCAAAAGAGGAGTAGCTAAAATTGATTTTGGAAATCCTATAAGAGATGTCGGCTATCAAGAAAAATTATGTTGTTTTAAATATATATATATGAATAAAAAATCAATTTTGTCTTCGTGAAAATGTATAGCATGATAAAAATGATTGTCATCAGATTTCATAGGACGTTTCATGTTAATATAAGTCATCGGTTTTTATGGGTGATCAGTTTGGCGCGTATTTTTTATTGTTCGCTGGCTTATTGTTCGCTAGCTTGATACACCTTATTGTTCGCTGGCTTATTGTTCGCTAGCTTGAGTCTGGTGGTTTACAGTCTAGTGATTTCAGATTTTTATTGATTTTCTTCTAAACTTACCCGACTCATGCCTCATGAAAGGACTCCTTATTAACGATCTGTGTTCATTGTTTAAATAATTTTCTAATTATTTTTTAGCAGGTTGAGTTAGCAAACCTCGACTGATTGTCGCCATGGGCACATCCTTTCATTTTTTATGATAAATTGTTTAAAGTTCCGAATAACAAATCAGTACATGTAAAAGCAATGGATAAGACACTTTTTTAATTTTAATTGATTCTGCATGTGTAGCTGAAACACTGAAATTATCAATTTAATTTTCTGCTTTTATTGAATTTCACATAACACAAAAAGCAACAACAGAAAACAGAGAAAAGGGGCACATTTTATCAAATACTCGAGTACTATAGTAACTTTTTATTGCAGGTACCTTATATGTAAATTTGACAATCAGATATCATTATATTGTATGTCTTTTTCTTGCTCCACTCAAGAGTTGTGATTAATTGTGATGCATGTTTATAAAATGTCTAAGCTTATGTGTGAAGTGGTTATGAGACATAAGGATGTATAATTATACTTCATACATTTAGGGGGCGTACGTAATGACCTGCTAAACTGATTTTCTATATATGATTCAAATATTTTAAAAAGTCAATCAGTTAAAAAATCTCTAGTCACCATAATATATTGTAAAGTTTTAATAAACAATAAATAAAGGAGTTTCACGAAACAACAAATAATGTTTCCTCTGTTTCTGATTACGTAAACCGTTAGTCATTCGTATCAAGTATCACAATCATTGACCCTTTATGCAGTCAGGTGAATGTGTATTTAAACTCTAGAAATATTTAAAGGTTTAAATGTGTATCACGTGATTTGAATGTTTATTACACTTCCGTACTTATGTTGACAACAAGAAGAAACAAGCAAATATTTTTCAAATTTTTATTTCCTACGGACGTATCATTTCCTTTTCATACGTCAGGGAAGCTTCTATATAATATGTAAGTTTACAATAACATTTATTGTTTATAGAAGTACACATATTATGTCTATATATACATAAATATTTACGCCACTGGAGGCTAATCAAGTACATATTAAGAGATTTTTTAAAAGTTTTTATTTCTCATTTAACTGTAAGTATTGAATTTTAATTATCAATTCAGATCTTTAAGAAGTATGTCGAAAGGTCAAGTTAAGCGAACTTTATTATTTCCTTTTACTGGTCATTTTCATGCTATCATAATCCAAATAGCGAATTTTGGTGAATTTCAACAGGGGAGGAAAAATATTTCAGACCATTTATAAGAACAATAGATGGTTATTTTCAATAGATATTTGTTTTCATACGTTACAGTTTCAACATTTCCTCACTCCACACATATAGAAATTTCCCAACACTTGTTAAATGAGCGCAGCTCCAGGTCTTTAATGATACGACGGTTTTGGCCGGTCTAATGAGGCCCTTTTGATTTGTATGCTGTCAACTATTTCATATATATGGCTTTTAAAACTGTTAACAATTTTACTGCTATAACTAAGAGATTACCATCATACTGACATCTGCAGAGTTCTCCAAGGGCAATCAGTATACTGGCAGTTTTCAGTAAACATATAAATTAGTAAGAACGAAATAAAAGAAAGGGAATTGTAGAAAGTATAGTCTCCAGCGAATCAGATAAAAGTTTCTTCTTGAAATACTCGTCGTGCTTAAAGAAATTAGTATCGTACGTTTTTAGTGCATGCATGGTCGTCGATTTTAGACCAAACAATGTATGATGTCCTCATCTATAGGATTCTAACGATTTAACATTGCCGTTATCGTTCTCAAAACTATTTATAGGATTCTGTCGATTTATCATTGCCTTTATCGGTCTCAAAACTATCTTAAGTATTCTAACGATTTAACATTGCCTTTATCGTTCTCAAAACTATCTATATATAGGATTCTAACGATTTAACATAGCCTTTATCGTTCTCAAAACTATCTATATATAGGAATCTAACGATTTAACATTGCCTTTATCGTTCTCAAAAATATCTATTGGATAATAACAATTTAACATTGCCTTTATCGTTCACAAAACTATCTATAGGATTCTAACGATTTAACATTGCCTTTATCGTTCTCAAAAACTATCTATGGATTCTAACGATTTAACATTGCCTTTATCGTTCTCAAAACTATCTATTGGATTCTAACGATTTAACATTGCCTTTATCGTTCTCAAAACTATCTATAGGATTCTAACGATTTAACATTGCCTTTATCGTTCTCAAAACTATTCAATAACTGCAAATTCTATTCTCGTTTTCGTTTTTACGCATAATCCCTCTGCAACCAACAAATAACACGGTAGCTTCATGATAAAAAAAATGCGTTATATTGAATATTTGTCATCATTTTTTCCATTGGTTTTGTAAAGCTTCTACTTTAACTTCTGTTCCTGCAAATACTAAAATTATATTTTTGTTTTTTCGAGTCATGCATGATCAATGTTCCTAGATTCATTGGATTATGGGTTATCGTTTGCTTAACGTCCAAAGGCAAATATCATGAATATTACACGCCACGCAAATTGAGGACGAGAACAAATTAATAACTGTACTGAAGTGGTTTTGCAAAGTGGGTCGACGGGGGCTATGTATTTATGCATCCGTCACGTCCAAACGGACACATTTATTTTGCATAGGTAGTACGATCGGATTGGTAAGTCTAAATGACCATATTTCGATATCAGAATTTTGTTCTTTTGCAATCAGATTACTTATTTGTTCACTCTATAAATTATGGCGAAATATAATAACATTATAAATACCTCCTTTAGTGAGACATTTTGACTCTTGGAATTTTTTTTCATATGACTTTAATAAAGTACACATACTTTGCTCATTGTTGAAGGCCGTACGGTGACCTAAAGTTGTGAATTTCTGTGTCATTTGGTCTATTGTGGAGAGTTGTCTCATTGGCAATCATACCACATTTTCATATTTTTATATATAATTTCTATAAGACAGCCGTAATGCATTTCACAAAAATATAATATTAAGACTATTTTCTTTCGATGCAAATTAAACACGGACTGTAAATCAATCAAACTACCAAGTCTAATCTTAAATACTTGTAAAAAGATATGGACTAACGCCAAACGAATAATTAATAAATCAATTTAAAAAATCTTGAGAATAATATAGATGTGCTATCAAGTATCTAATGATGTCATTTAATAGTTCGACATAAGAAAATGTTATAAAATATTATTGACAGGAAACTATTTAATGGTCTCTAATATAACTTATTTATCTATAATGATTTGTTATTTTTTCCATTTTCAGTTTCAAATATAGTAACTCTGAATTTTACATATCGTCTTACTGTTATAAATAGTTGCAATAGGAAACATTACTGCCTAAAATGGCTAAAAGATGGTTTGGAAGCCAAAAAAATGTACATGCGAATGAAATGGCAGAGCATCAAAAACAGCTAGAAACAAGACTTCATTTTCAAGAAGATCGTACTAAAATGTTAGAAAAACAGAATATTGAATTGAAAAAAGAATTAGTGATAATGGCGGCAGAAAAAAATGAATTACTTAGCAGGTAATATTGACATTTATTCAATTTAAGAAACTAGAATTCAGAATATTTTATATTCCTGTCAACAATCAATTCAATTTTGAAAACTGTTTTTGAAATACACAACCTTCTGCCGAAAAGATAATGATAATTATAATGAGCTACCTCTGTAGCTGTCAGAATACACAACATTTCGTTGAAGGCTACTAGTCTTCAAGGATTGATATAGCATTCAATCAGTCATGATTGTCCTAATGGTCTGTTTATGCGAATTGAAGAAGATGTGAAGTATTCGTCAATGGGACTGCACTCGCAAACACAAGAAAAACTCAAAGACATATCGAGCTGAACAGTTAACTTTTGAAAAGTCTCCATCAGTAGATTATTGTCTATTATGCCATACGTCGTGCTCTGAACTGCCACGAGACAAGTTTTTCATATATTTAATCGAGACTATAAAATGCCTGTACCAAATCCGTCATTTTCATTCTGGTGTTGGTGGTTATTGTGGTCTGTTGTCTATTTTTGGTAGATCTAGTTTTACTTTTTATGCATAGCCAGACATCTGTCATCTACACAAAATTCCGATCTACCTTGTAGTTAAAAACTATTTTTATAAATCAACCCTTTCCTTTCATTCTCAAACGTTTAAGATGCTCGAGTACTGTAAGTTTTGAATAATCTTATCAACTTGAACCGAAAATTTTAAACTTTTAAAAGTTTAAATCTTCCTTAACCATTGGTTTATTTGGTAAATAAACAAATAAAGGAAATCAGGAAATATTGATATAAAAAGGTCATTTCAATAAAGCTTCCTTGTATATTTAAATAATTCCCCCATTATGTAATTTACGGTTTCGCTAGTTGTGCAAGAAGTAAGTTCAATCGATTGACGTGTTTGGTAATTTCCCGAATTAATGAATTTGGACTTTATTATTTTCGTCTATTAGATATTTAAACTCAGGCTGCAACTCTGTCTACTTGATCTTAGGCGGAATTATTTGTTCTATTTAGGTCCCTTTCGATAATTTTAAAAATGCTTTTTCAAACTTTATTATGTACATCCTAAATAACAAAGTTTGAAAATGCTTTTTCAAACTTTGTTATTTAGGATGTACATGTTACTTGTACATGATGAAGTTTATTCCAAAACACGTGTTCGACGCACAGAAATTTACAGAAATTTATATCATATGTGTCTTTTAAACTTTGTACATGTATTCATTTCGTATTCATTGTGTAACAACTTCAGGAATCCTCTTTTGGAAAATTACAAATTATTTTATACACGATTTACTTGGTAAAAATCGTTGTTGGGTGTTGTCTCATTGACATAGTGTACAGTTAACAATCCAATTTATTCGTGTGAATAGATTCCAAATAGTAGAGTTAGATTAAATATATAAACAAAAAGACATGATTGAAGTATATAACATTGTTTTGATAGCTTTAAACGAAAGGTCAGCCACAGAGTTTGCTTATTATTACCACAAATCAATTTATCTCCAAAAGACTTCACCAAGCGCTATATGGTCATAATTTCGTTTACTATTTGAACACTTTCCCCCTTATTACTGCGTTTAAATTTGCTCTTTTCAAACACTTGATTCGTTTGGTGTGTTTGTGCTTTTGGTTTTGCCGTTTGATTGGGGACTTACCTTTTTGGGTTTTCCTCGGAGTTCAGTATTATTGTGAATTTTATTTTTTTCCAATGTTATTTTTAATAGACTAAGTCGTATTGCTGGAGAACAGATGTCTAGAGGAAATCCAGATATTGCTGACTTGAGTGATCCCAACAGACCAACGAAGCTGGCTGAAAAATGGAACTCCCTATACACGGAAGAATGGTTAGATGCATATGAAGAGCTAAAAAAGCAGAAAAACCAAACCCAGATTGTTGAAAAACAGCTTCTAGATATACTGGTGGTATGTCATTGTTTAATTTAATATATTACGGGTGCCATATAATATCACTCGCGGTTTTTAAAGAACGTTTTACCAAAACAATATAGGTTTTAGCAATATATGTCGGCTTATTTTTTTTTATTGTTGTATTCTTTTATGTCATCTGTCAAGGAATGTTTATAATAATACCCTATTCTTTACTGTCGCTTGTTGACATAACTTAAAATGCATCTGCATGAATTTTTTGCTAGAAAATGAAAATAACACTTTATAAATGCGCGAAACGCTTTTCTGGATTTACCTTCATTGTGAGTCTCAAACTAAACCCAGAAACGTTAGGAGATATATGACTAAAAAGGATAGTCAACTTTGTCTTACTTGTAGCAAGTGTAAGGTCACAGACATAAAGAAGATCTTCAACAAGTACACACCGTAGCTTTATTTCTATATCCCAGCTATTCTTGTAGTTAATGGTTGGTCCCTGTGTCCTTCATGTAAAGGATAACATTAATACACGAAGTCGATTAAGGGATAGACCTGTGCTAAGAGAGATTCTTTTTTATACAAGTAATGTATATGTACTTACATTAACGGTATCAATTTTACTGTACCGGATGCGCAGTTACGATAGTGATGCTTGAGGTCAAAATGATTGAAACAAACGTATAGGTAGTTTATCTAATGGTGTTTGAGCATTAAAACAGTTTGCGATAGTTAGGGTTTAGGATATATTTTTTAAAAAATAGCAGTGATTTTAACACACAATGTGACTAGCAGAGCAGGATCTGCTAACCCTTCCGGAGCACCTAAGATCACCTATGATCACCCCCAGTTTTTAGGTTCGTGTTGCTCAGTATTTAGTTTTCTATGAAGTATTTTGTGATTTTTTTGTCTTTTCGGCGTATGGCTGGCGTTGTCAGTTTATCTCGTCTTATGAGTTTTCAACGTTTCCTTGGTTTCTTCCGCCTCTTTTTAAAACTTGGTCTAGCTTTTAAATATATTTATTTCCTTATTTCAACCAAAACAATAATATTTTGTCATTTGTTTGTTTACAGCTTTGTTATCACCAATGTCAGGAAATAGCAGACGATCAAGTGATGAAACTGAGATATAACCTTGAAGATATAGAAAACTATATGAAGGACACAGATACAAACCTAAATATGTCTCAGGTAAAAACATAAGACTTTTCAAGATACTGCTAAAATTTCTTTAAATTACCACGGAACTCCTATATGCAGGTCTTGATGGGGTTTACAGAATAGACAATAATGGGCAAAATAAATATAGAATAGAGAAAATTGTATAGAAATTAAAGAATAAAGAAATGAGGGACCCCCTTTCCAGACCCTCATAAATAGATATTTCGGAACTTCCTTCATTCATGTAATTCTTGTAATACATGTTACGCTTGTTTATCGCGCACGTATTTGCCAACAAATCTTCAGAAAGGTAACTGTATGCAAGAAAAAAGAAAACGACACGAGTATTAATACTGTTTGCGGGAAATTCTTTTACTTTTATCAAAAAATATGATTACATAGGTAAATATATGCGTTTTTTTACACGAGTAACATTAATTTGTTGGAATATAATGCGATACTATTTTCACATATATTTATAATGCGAATCATTGGTTCAATCACAGTTTGCCGTACATTTTCTAGTTTCCATTTTCTCCCTTTCTTAGAAAAACAACGACACGAGTATTAATACTGTTTGCGGGAAATTCTTTTACTTTTATCAAAAAATATGATTACATAGGTAAATATATGCGTTTTTTTACACGAGTAACATTAATTTGTTGGAATATAATGCGATACTATTTTCACATATATTTATTATGCGAATCATTGGTTCAATCACAGTTTGCCGTACATTTTCTAGTTTCCATTTTCTCCCTTTCTTAGAAAAACAAAGCATGAAATATTTAAAAGTTTTTCTTCATGAGTAAGAAAATTATAGAAAATTCAACAAAAGTTATCGGTGCTGTCGGAGGTGATGGTAGGTGATGGTGAGGGTAATAGCATGAAAAGTTGAAAGCTTGAAAAGTTTTTTTTATATCACAGTTTGGTTAATTTTAATAATAAATCTTACTTGCATTAACACTAAAATGAAATCAAATCGATAAATGAATAAATATCAATGTTCTGTTTTTTAGAGCAGACGTGCTTCTAGTGCTCGACTAGATAGAAGTATTGGGCGAAGATTTATGGACGATATCATTAATACCTACAAACAAAGAAGATGTAGAGATTCCGAATGGATACAAGCCGTAACGAAGGTAATTTAGAGAATTCAAAATTCGTTTTAGACATATATTTAACTCCCTGTATTTACATTAACGGAAACAAATAAACTTCCAATATTGATAGACACTAAAATACCAAAGTAGTCAAAATGTTATATATCAATTCGACAGACGAATGCATTGACAATTCCCTTTGGTGTTTGTATTTAAATGTCTGTTGTAATAAAACATAATGAGTTGCCTGGCAGTGAATCAGTGGTAGTATTTGTAAATAAGCCTCATCATTTTTTTTATTCAATTTATTCCAAATTCCCGAATGATTACCTCAGGAATTTTACATTGATTATCAGTGATAAAAAAAAATTAAACCGCTTTAGTCGTCATCTGGAACCGTCTTATCATGTAAGATATTTTGTCTCGAGTATATCCATCCTCCTGTACTACTGTAACAACAGCACGTGAAAAGGCCGTGAAATGTCTGTGAAATATCACAGGGCCGTGAAAACCTTGTGAAAATACCCCGTGACTTTTGTAAAAAAAATATTTCTAAAGGCCGTGAAAAATATTTGATGTTAGAAAAAGACCGTGAAATTTCAATATCCCGTGAAAAGGCCGTGATAATTTGTCCTTTCATGCTTAATAAAAAATATCACGGCCTTTTCACTGGTTGTTGAAACCAGTGAAAAGGCCGTGATATTTTTTCATGTCAATTTTTTCTTATCCTTATTCAGATTTAAAACATCCCATGTGATTATTGTTATATGGTCTAATTATTTCCACTCACATTTTTCTAAATATCCTATAAACTTTTCATTATAAATATATATGTCTGTTTAAATATTATTATATGCAATACTACTGTACTGTACAGGACTGACTTTTAAATGGAACCATTCATTGTTATAATTAATGACTTTGTGCCAATAAATATTTTGTATTTAAAGAAAAGTATTTTGCTTCTCGTCTGTACATTATTATAAACAATGTAAACATTAATTTTGATATTGGAACAGAAACATGTAAAAACGAGAACTTCCCGGAATATCAGCCGTATCCGGATTCGTGTTTCTTTTAGAGTAATTGTAACATTTCCGCAAAAGGTTGGAAATTTGAAAGGGTATCGGGTCCGTTCGCGCCCAATACACGTTCGCACCCTACACGTTCGCACCCCACACGTTCGCCCCCTAGGTCCGTTCGCACCCTACACGTTCGCACCCTTTTTTTTATTCAAAAACCTGATAATTTTTTAGATGTTTTGTAGATGTTTATATCAAAATATTTTTATTTTCATAAATAAAAATTCGGGAATTTTTAAATGAAATATAGTTTTAAATTGATTTGATGAATAAATATTAAATGTTAATTATGTATGATTACTGCTTATTGGTATTTATTCACAGCCTAATTTGGTGTTATTGTTGAGTGTTTGAAAATCATGATTGTTGTCATGGTTGTTTTAACTTGCGTTGATGTAAATACTGCATGTATTTAGCTTGGTATGAGTAAAACTTTGAAGATTTAAAAAAAAAACATGAAAGATAATTGTTTTTAACTGCTTGGCTCCTTTGATCCCACGTGTGTCAGAATCCCACTTTATTCATAAACAATGAAAAAAACTATTTATAGCAATACACTATCCAAACATGATTAAAAATTATTCAACACAAAAATAAAATACTGGTCGTCAGAATCTCACTTTATTTTAAAACAATGAAAAAAATGTTTATAGCAATATATTTACCATGACACAAAAAAAACCTTGTCAGAATCTCACTTTATTTAGAAACAATGAAAAAATATATATTTATAGCAATACACTTACCAAAACTCGTTTACAAATTATTAAAAACAAAACCAATAAAAAATGGGCGCGAACGTGTAGGGTGCGAACGGACTTCGGGTGCGAACGTGTAGGGTGCGAAAGTGAAAGGGGGCGAACGTGCATGGGGGCGAACGTGATTGGGCGCGAACGGACCCGGATTCATTTGAAAGACGCCGAAGGTCGATTAATATTTACTTTATAGATGCAAGACGAGTGACAGCAAGTTTGAGGTAAGTAAAGTTATTAATATTTTATTCTTTTATGCATCATATCACCAAAATGTTGATGACGTTTGTGAGCATTTCCATTGAACTGATTTTCACTGAATTTGCAGAAACCGCGCAAACATGCATGTGATATATTCACTTATATTTGAGTCTGTTGCACTTGATTCCTTTAATCATTTCGATTAATGTTTTCTAAGACTTACCGGATCCTTTAAATACGATTACGGTTTTGTTTTGTTTATGTATTTGGGAAAAAAAGGGGGGTCCTTTTCCCCCACACTGGCCACGTAAAAAAAATGACATTTATGTACAGTACACTACGTAGACATAGATATAGATAATAGATAATTGGAAATGATTATGATAACAATAAATATCTCTGAAATGGAGTTCACTCTGATAATCAGAGGTGTAACCCCTTTGAATGTGTCGGGAGCTATTTAAGTATTTTCTGACTTGGCCATCGGGACACAGAGTTCAAAAGGGATTAATCAGAGGCGTAGCAGGGAAAGTATTTAATATTTGTACGGCAAAATGTCCTTTCTAGAAGGGTTTGTGCCATATCATAAGAATAATTGGTATGGCAATGAGGTGTTTAAAAAAATGGTATGAAAATATGGGAAAACCTATGCATGTTTCCAAGTGGCTGTTCTGTTTCAATGATGTTTTTTAGTATTTTTCATACCATTTTCACCTCCAGTATGAAAATCTGCCCCCTATTCAATATGGGGTCATTAACCGTGAAGTCCTGTATTGCATGGAATAATATTGTAGCTGTTTTAAGTACATGTACCCGGTATGTACATAAATGCCAAAAATTAATTTGAATATATAAATAGTTTTTTTATATACATGTATAATATATGTTATGGTTCTTTATTTATTCTAGGAATGAAGAGCAAAAGGATATAGCAGTCTTTATATAAAATAGTTCAGGAATCCAGTTGGAAAGAAGAGCTTTTCAGTAAAAAGTATTTCCTGGGAATTAACAGGAACTTCTATAAATGTTTTTCTGGAATAGTTATTCAAAAGAGCAGTGAAGTGAAGGATTACATTAGACAAATATTGCTGAAGTGGTAAAATCACACCCAAGAGATGTACAAAATTTCTACAATACATGTTACAGCTGACTTTAGCTACTTAATCACATTGACATTTGTGTGCTTTTATGTTTTCTTTACATAATTACTACAGTTCTATTAAAATTAATATTTTTATTCTTTGTCACAATTATTACTAAAAAAAATACAGCATTTTAATATGGTTTTTCATAGTCTCAATTGCATTGTACTTAAATAAGTTGTCTACTAGATATTTACACTAGGTTTTCAGGCATTTCACTTCACTTGATTGAAACAGCATTTAAATTTTTTGTTAAATTATGGCCTAAAAAATACATTTAACATTTAACAGGAGTTTTCACAATCAGTGAATGGCTGTTTATCACAGTAGTACATGTACATTTCACGGTCTTTCCACAATGGGCACATAATTTATCACGACTTTTTCACGGTGTACATTTTTGTTTTTCACAGGTTTCTACGGTCTCTTTACCCAAGTTTTCAGTTGGTACCTCTTCACGGCCTTTTCAAGACAAATAAAGGCATATACTGTACTATATCTACATTTCACGGTCTTTTCACAATGGGCACATAATGCATTATCACGACTTTTTCACGGTGTACATTTTTTTTTCACAGGGTTTCTACGGTCTTTTCACCCAAGTTTTCAGGTGGCACCTCTTCACGGCCTTTTCACAAACTTTTCACAGCCTTTTCACAACAGTCATTCCACGGCATTGTCACGGATAAGTTTCACGGCCCACCGTAAATTAACCGTGACAAACACTGTAAAAATCACCAGCATTTTTACGGACATTTTCACGGCCAATCTACGGGGCATTGTTCTAGTAGTGCTGGTGTCTTTATTATGTTAATGAGAAAAAAACAGAAAATGCCTCAATAGTTTTTCTATAAGTTCCGCCTTTAGTCTAAACCAAACAACACTGCGATAAAGATATTGTTTGAAAACTGCATGTCTTGAGTTATTTTAAACTCTACAATGTTATTTTGGGATAATTGGATTGTCGGTTGCTTTATTATTCAGTAACATGTTTTCTTTCTTTTTTTTTTTCAGAAGTGCGCAAATTATTATATTTCAAAAGGAGGAGTACATTCAAAGCGAGTCTTGTCATATGTTACCAAATGTGCTGAATTGTGTTGGTTTATGCGTGTTCACAATCCACCAATGGTTATCGAGTACGAGTTTTACACCGGTCAGGATATTGACAGAAATAAATTTAATCTTTACAGTGGAAAAGGGACGAAAGTTGACTATATAGTGTGGCCAGCCTTATTTTTAAACAGAGGAAACAGTTACAGTGTATTAGCGAAAGGAACAGTCCAGCCTGTTTCTGAAAACCAATCACACGTAAGACCGAAAAGAAAAAGTAGTGAAAAACTAAGCGATGGGGTGACACCAGTTTCGATACACAATACAAACGATATGTCTAGAGTCCAGTCATCGTCGCCAATGAGAAGTTCGATGAAACAGAAATCCCCAATGAAATCACCATTTAAATCTACAGGCACTACATGCAAACCATCTAAAGACCAATCTGTGACATCTGTTAGCGGCGTTAACATTGAGGTTGGTGATGACACACATCATCAACCAATAATTCGTTCAAGAATATCAAACCCTGAAAAACTTTTTCTTCCTAGCAAGCAAAAAGGAGACAAACTTCATTCTACCAAACAATTGCAATATCCAGGAAAACATCAGACTGATTTTTCAAAGTCTACGAAAGGAGGACGACACAGAATTGTTCAGCCATGAAATTATGTCCTTAAGTTATAATAAAATACATCGATGTATTAAGGAAATAAAATTAAATGTTTGATTAACTTAAAAAAATATTTTAACTAAGTTTTTAAAGGGTGTTGACTATTAATGGTACGCGTTTTTCTGTCTACAAAAGATACACCGTAACCAATCAGATCTCTGTTAAAATTTGTTCTATTGAAGGCCACACATTCATTTCAGGATGCTGTACTACCTTGATGGTGTCTACGTAAATGAACATCGAACTTTTTTTTTCTTGTACCCCATTATGATCATTCATTTATATAGGTAAGTTAATGCTATAAATCATGGGCCGTTCAGATTCCCTATACATTGAGACTGAATTGCAGATTCAGATTCAGATTCAATATCTTAAGTTATTAAAGAGTCACCATGTGTAATACATTATAATACACAATCATCATAATATATACGTTTTATAAAACATATTTTATCAGTTCAAATACAGGTACCATTATATTAAGAGTTATGAGAGACCAAATAAATTTCAATCAATTATAACTATATAGCTGTCATGTCATAAATATTTCAGTTCTGAAAATATATACATGTAGTAACAATATGGTACCAATTTTTCTGCACCAGGTGCTTATTTCGGCAAAAATAATGCCTCGAGGCCAAAATATTTGAAAATCCAAAACTTATTTTAAAAAATGAAGAGCTTATAAACGAAAAAGAATAAAACGAATAGCCGAAGCCGGGCAAGGAATCAAAGATTTGCATGAGGTATGCGTGTTCCTTAATTTAAAACAATTTCCAAACTTTTGTAACATTAATTTTAACAATACAATATCCGTATTTTCATGCCAGTACCGATGTACTGGCTACTGGGCTGGTGATACCCTCTCGGACTAACAGTCCACCAGCAGACAACTATATGTTTATCATGTCAACAAACCATTGGCATTACTCATTAAAAGAGAAACATGTGTTTATATACGAGATTCGAGGCCCTGTTGACCGTAGAGTTTGCTGTATACATCTATGGTTTAAGAAAGATTAGAAGTGCATTTTTTGTGAATTTAAGCAATTTTAGCAACAGTAAAAAGAGCATTCCAATTTAAACGGCATGTATAAAATTCAACATACAATGTAATTCAAGCAAGATGTCAAGACCTTTCAAAAATTTGAACTGTTCGAATGGGAAAAAAAATAGTTTTTCAACTATTTTCAAACTAACTACAAAACCAAAAAAATATTTTCATATTAATATTTCTACATTAATTTCCCAAACCAACACATCAAAACTGAACATCATGCTTTAGATAATCATATTCTATGTTGATAGGGTATCCTGTACTTTAAGATGCTAAATGCTTTACAATTAATCCATTATGAAGGTTCTGCAAAGTGGGTAGATCGGAATGCATGGCGAAAGATTTGACTTATAGTTTTAATACTGTATTTTTGGTTTTAAGCCAAAAAGTCTATAAAAGCAAGGGGCATACCTTAAACTGGGATGACCCCACCACATTTAAGCCTGTACGAGACAATGAATTGTACGTTTTTGCTGTTCAACTTTATACTTGTTTGGCTTTTAACTATTTCGATCTGAGCGTCACTGATGAGTCTTATGTAGACGAAACGCGCGTCTGGCGTATTAAATTACAATCCTGGTACCTTTGATAACTATTTGTTTGATCGTCTGGTTGGTTTTTATTATCTGTTGGTGATTAATGTGGGCTGTTGTATTGTGGAGGATTTTTATACGACCGCAAAAATTAAAAATTTTTGGTCGTATAGTGGTATGACGTTGGCGTCGTCGTCGTCGTCGTCGTCGTCTGGCATCGTCCGGCGTCGTCCGAAGACACATTGGTTTTCGCACTCTAACTTCATGGATCTCCATGAAATTTTACCATAAGGTTCAATACCACGAAAGGAAGGTTGGGATTGATTTTGGGGGTTATGGTACCAACAGTTAAGGAATTAGGGGCCAAAAAGGGGCCAAAAATAAGCATTTTTGTAACTTCCAGACAATAACTTGTATGTAAGTGTATGGATCTCTCTGACATTGTACCACAAAGTTCCATATCACAAAGGGAAGGCTGTAATTGATTTTGGGGGTAATTGCCTCAAAATTTTAGGAATGAGGGGCCAAAAAAGGGGCAAAAAACAAGCATTTTTCTAGTTTCATGACAATAACTTGTGTGTAAGTGTTTGGATATTTCTGAAATTGTACTACAAGGTTCCATATCACAAAGGGAAAGCTGGAATTGAGTTTGGGGGTAATTGCCCGAAACGTTTAGGAATTGGGGGCCAAAAAGGGGCCAAAAATAAGCATTTTTCTAGTTTCCAGACAATAACTTGTGTTCAAGTGTATGGATCTCTCTGAAATTGTACTGCAAGGTACCATACCACAAAGGGAAGGCTGGGATTGAGTTTGGGGGGTGATGAATCATAAGGGGGTTCAAAAAATTTGGGGGGGGGGGGTTTCTTTTTTTTCCTTTTTTTTTTTCTTTTAAAATTTTCCATTTTAAGTTGGTTATTTCTGATTAATATTTAAAAGCAAATAATAATGATATGGTAGGAGATACACACCAAACAGGATGTGTAAATTATTATATAATAAGTATTGTGCAATAGCAAGAAATTTTCAATTGCACAGTATTGCACAATAGCAAGAAATCTTCAATTGCACAGTATTGCGCAATAGCAAGAAATCTTCAATTACACAGTATTGCGCAATAGCAAGAAATATCCAATAGCACAATATTGCGCAATAGCAAGAAATTGTCAATTGTACAGTATTGCACAATAGCAAGAAATATTCAATTGCACAGTATTGTGCAAAAGAAGATACTTCGTATAAATTGCTTATTTCTTGATCAATTTCAATGGGGTTTTATTCTTGAATTCTTGGGGTTCTTAAATATGCTGAATCTAACCGTGTATTAAGTTTTTGGATTTTGGGCCCCGTTTTTAAATTGGTCCACATTGAGGTCCAAAGGGTCCAAAATTTAACTTTGTTTGATTTCATCAAAAATTGAATTATTGGGGTTCTTTGATATGCCGAATCTAACCGTGTATTTAGATTCTTAATTTTTGGTTCTGTCTTCAAATTGGTCTACATTAAGGTCCAAAGGGTCCAAAATTTAACTTTGTTTGATTTCATCAAAAATTGAATTATTGGGGTTCTTTGATATGCCGAATCTAACCGTGTATTTAGATTCTTAATTTTTGGTTCTGTCTTCAAATTGGTCTACATTAAGGTCCAAAGGGTCCAAAATTAAACTTAGTTTGATTTTAACAAAAATTGAATTTTTAGGGTTCTTTGATATGCTGAATCTAAACATGTATTTAGATTTTTGATTATGGGCCCAGTTTTCAAGTTGGTCCAAATCGGGGTCCAAAATTAAACTTTGTTTGATTTCAACAAAAATTGAATATATGGGGTTCTTTGATATGCTGAATCTAACCATGTATTTAGATTTTTGATTTTTGGGCCCCGTTATCAACTTTGTCCACATTGAGGTCAAAAGGGTCCAAAATTAAACTTTGTTTGATTTCAACAAAAATTGAATTCTTGGGTTTCTTTGATATGCTGAATCTAACCATGTATTTAGATTTTGGATATTGGACCATAATAGGTGAATGTCCAATTTAAAATTTTTAAGTTCTTAGACCACATTCATTCTGTGTCAGAAACCTATGCTGTGTCAAATATTTAATCACAATCCAAATTCAGAGCTGTATCAAGCTTGAATGTTGTGTCCATACTTGCCCCAACTGTTCAGGGTTCGACCTCTGCGGTCGTATCAAGCTGCGCCCTGCGGAGCATTTTATTGGTGATTATAATCATCCTTTTTCTATATTACAATAATGTATAGGGACAATACATTTACCTTACAACATGACATACAGACCCCTCAATTAGTTGTTGCAATGGTTCCTTAACGTACAAATTTTTCCTGGTCGATGTAATGTGGCTGCGTATTTAATTTATCACCACACCAATAGCCCTATATTAAGTACTCCTTTCCGAAAAGATAGAGAACATTTCTGGATAAGGGAACTAGGTACTGCAATGCCACATTGTTGCAATGATAATATCAAAGGAGTAGGAAATTTGTCAAGTCCATCCTGCAGTGATGTAAATGTAATTGAGCTTATTGAATACTAACTTACATTTAAGACCCAATCGTAGTCATGGGCAAAAACATTACCAGCGGCCCAATGTAAAAAAGTCTTCCAAATTTAGATAGCCCTCAGGGAGCTTTGATGACCCTCTTTCACATCTTTATCATCAGCTAGGGTTACATTACATTAGAACTATTCTTTTTTTTTCGCGCTGCCTGTTAATTTTCTAAAATGCTTGAGAGATTATGCACTAGACAAGGGATGCATAAATATATTTGCACCAATATACAGACTGGTCAGTATCATTTGTGATGTAGCTCTTTTCCGTCTTCTTAAATTTGTAAGATCGGAACCATTACAAGACGACATTATGAAATTCCTTCCAGTTCAGTTTTCTAATGAAGAAATTGATGTTATCAACAGCAGCAACTTTCTTCATCACAAAGAGGTAACATCTAAAATTCCACTTTATTTTCAAAATTAGTCTGTTCCTATTGTATCCTACAATTAAATCAAAAATATTGCACCTAAAGTATTTAACTATAAGCAAGCATTGCAGGACCTTGATTTAGAAGAAGATATAAAAAAAACTCTGACATGTGACTGTTCCCACTTGCTTATATTCACAGTCCCTCTGGCCATGTTATTACTGGGGATCGAAACGTAATTCAACATGAACATCTCCGAAAGGTGATATCTCATGGTCCTAAGTTCAGAGAACCCCAACATACCTATTGGAACCATAACTTCAAAATAATTGACTACGCCAGAGCATGGGCTAAACGAGAAGTTGAACTGGACACACTGTAAGAATGGGTTAAAGCAATCAAGTCTCTGATAAAATATCGAATCCAAAAGTTGACAAACCCTGTGACTGATCGACCAAAGTCCGTATTCAGATACAAAGAAGCTGTGAAATGTCTATCATCACGTCACGATAAATATGTTGTTGTTCTGCGGACAAAGATTCAAAT